TCCCTATTAAAGATGTTTCTGTAGAAGAATAAAAGCAAGACCAACAGTTCCCTTAAATCAGTAGTCACATTATCATCTCAGCCTTTTGTACTTCCTTTTAGTATGTGATGCTGTAATATAATATATTGAATAGACCTAGATACCACCTGGAGCAAGCTTATAAACAACAGTATAGGTATCAGTGGTGCCAACTTTGGACCAAGACATTGTTCCTAAGTTACTTTCAGCTTGGCTATGAATTATATTTTTGGAGGCATTGTAAGGGTGGAATGAAAATCTGTCATAGGATCAGCATGATGGGATAAACCTTGGTATCCCAATCTGTATGAGCAGTCACGGTGGTGAGAAGACTGTACGCCTCTAGTACAAGTATGAGGGAGCAGTCTGCATGGTAAGAAACAAGCTGGAAGTGAAAAGGCAAAGTTACAGGGACTGAAAACTTAGGAGAATCCTTTCAGCTAGTGGTTTTGAGTGCTGTGGTGGGACAAGGCAGGAATGATGTGCTTCGTGGCTTGGCACTGATGTTTCTTGGACATGTCCCAGAGGTGTATGTGGTACTTGCTGGAAGCACAGCTTAGAGCGACATATTCCCCTCTAACCTGTTCTTAGAAGAAAAAGGAGAAATTACCTTGGAATTTCTGGAAGGTTTCAAAACTTTCTCTGCAAAGATGATTGTAACTCTTATACCAACCGGCGTGCTTCTCCAGGCTTCCTGTTGTGACACACAGGTTCTCCCCATTCCTCACAAACCCCTTTCTGTGCTGGGATCCCCCTTCCTCCCGAATTACCTTAGGATCTTGCAACTCCGCCATCAATATCGACCTCTTTCTCATCTAAGAATCGTCCTGTCAAAATGCCTGCCGCTGTCACAGGAACTGATAGTGCTGTGTCCTGTCATACGCTGGGCCTCCGCCCAAACGCAGTCTGTCTGCCCCACAGCCTTGTCCTAGGGCGTGCTGTGGAAATCTACATCGGTTCAGAAAGGCTTGCAGGAAATCCACTGGGGCAAAGCTGGAAGCAGATCCAAGGCTATTAAGTACAAAGGCCATACCTGAAGCTCAAAACCTGTAAGTCATAGATTTCTGGAGGCTGGGGGCATATTTGAGGGAGGTCTTACCTTGTACGTACTCCCTGCTTGTGCTTTTCCTTGTGCAACTGCTACTGGGCGCAATAAACTGGTATTTATTTATTTGTTTGTGCTTAGCATTAGATTCACTTTAGCTTATATTTTGTCTATATGGCAAAATAATGAATTGTGGCATAGTTTTCTTCAGTTAACATTCCATTAGAGTAGAACGTGTTCTTGTTTAAAAACAAAACAAAACAACACTAAAACAGCTGGTTGCTTATCAACAGCCGACTGCATTAAAAGGCACTTTTTCATTTTGCTCTGTATAGAAAATTGTTGTGGTTTTAGGGTGGATTTCCTGGCAATCGTCACAGGAAGTGGAGGTGCTGGGAATGTGTATATAGTTTATTTTTTTCTCAAGAAGCTCCTTGTTCTTAAAACTTCGATTTATGTGGGCTTCACTTCAAGACTGATTTTTTTTTTTTTTCCTCCCTCTGCTTCCCCCCAAGTGGGAAGGCAAATCTTAGGTTCTGTGGTCCTGTGCAAGTTTACATTTAAAAAAAAAACTCATTGACTAGATCGTTATTTCTTAAGCTTTGGCAAAATATGAGGGGCAGCAACCTGTGGTAGATACTCTGGATGAATAGAATAGAATAGTTGAGTTAGATGATCGCTGAAGTTCCTTCATAGCCCAACTGCAACTGCAGGGCTCGTGGTGTAGCTTAGTGTATTGATGTCAGCTGTGAGGTGCACCAGTGTTGAAAGCGAGAAGTTCAGCTCTTTTGTTAATTCTTCAGCTCATGGGACTACTTAGTTTGGGAGACTTAATGAAACCATTTCAGCTGCTCTGTGTGCCACTTGTATGTCGCTGTACAGCTAGTTATCGCTGTTCTCGGGTCTGTATAATCGGCGTGTTCCCTGCTCTATACTAACGCACTTCTTTCCTAAGCAGGCAGTTATTTCTTGTCCAGATAAGCTTTTTTTTTCTTTTTTTCTCCAGTTGCCCTTCTGGTAAGCATTTGACTCCAGCAGTGCAGGCTATGCATGCCTCTTATCTCTCAGGACCTGAAATGACGTTTCACGTGTCTTAGCGGTGTTAGGTGCAGTCAGACTTCACCCTGGCAGCCCTGTGTCCACCTGCAGTACTATTTAGCACAAGTTCTTGTTTAGCTTTTCAATCATATGGGAAAGACTTGAAGGAGATTGGTTTGTGTGGCACTTACAACTTTGGTATGTAGTGCTGTGTTCAGTTCTTACTTCTTGCTGATTCCGAGAACTATTTATCTCCTCTCAGAAAACAAAAGGACAATTTGATATACTTCAGACATTTTAAATACGTACTTTCCTGACTTTCTGATATGATGAGCATGTAATTTTTATACAGGTATTTTTGAAATGATGTGAAAATGAAGGATTTGTTTGTATTTTACACACAGAGCTCTTGAGTGCTTGCATGAAGTCTTGGTTGTATGATTAATTCTAGAAAGTGCATGGACTTGATGTGTTAAGTAAAGTTACATGGTTACATGCTACATGGAAGTATTTAGCCCAAGCAGAGTATTTGGATAGGTCATGTTTTCCTGTATTTTGCAACAGCAACAAACAGTGTTTAAAAACAAAGAGACCAAAACAAACAAAAAACTACAACAGTAATAAAGGAAAAAAAAAAAAGCCTACCTCATTCCACCAGCAAACTAGTTTATTGCTTGTCTGTCTTCTGAAGTAGTTTTATACTTGTGATTTTTATAACTTACTGCTTGTTTTCCAAAATTTTATTGTAAAGAGGAAGAATAAACCTTACAATTGAAATAGAAGCAGCAGAAGTTCTGCAGTCATTAAATATGTAAGGATCTGAAAATGAAGGAAAATTTTAAAATATAATGTTTTAAATTGTGGAGTTGTTTTATCTTCCTGACAGTCTTTTTTAACTTTCACAAAAATTTTTGACTTTAACAAATTTTTTTTTTCCACTCTTGATTGTTGACATTTTATGAGAACAGTAGTGTTTGTTGTGGTTAGCTCTTGCGATTTGATAGAAGTGTTATGATATTTCTTTACTTTTTACCATTAAAACTCAGAGCCAGATAGTTCTGAGTCTCATCGTTCTCAAGAAATGTTGTGGCTTTTATTGTTTTAAGTACACAACTAAAATGCTAGGGGGTGGGAGGGGACAGGGACACAAAAATCTCCTTTTTATTAATTTCAAATCTGATTTAAAGCAGACTTTTTTGAGGACCTGAATTATACTTTAGCTTATGTGGTTGCTAATATTGCGTTTAAGAATAGGCTCAATAGCAAGGCTGTTTGTTAACCATGTGCATTTTGGTAGTGTGTAGGAAAAATCTAGAGCAGAATCCACAGAATATACTGAGTTAGATAAGGCAGATGGAATTGGAGACAGGTCCCAACAATGTGAACGATTTAAGGATCCTAACTGCTTGCAATGCCATAATTATAGATTTTTGGGATGCTGACAAAATAAAGGGGAGGGGTGAGATGACCATAGAAGGTGTGCTAAATGGAAGGAGAGAAGAACAGAAGCTCAGTAGAAGCAAAGCAAGTATGGAATTGTGCTATGATGAAGAGACTGTGGAGGAGATTGCAAGTGCCTAACATAGCATAGGCAGGGGAAAAAGTGTTGTCAGAATGAGTCTTTGGCTTTCTTCATCTCTTCTTTCTCTGTTGGGTCTGGCTGGCTTTCTCTTCAGTTTTTCTTGACTGTTAACACAGGCAGGGAATTGAAGATGCATCACTGTTTGCGTATTCTGGGTGGTTTGGGGTGATTTCCCTTGCCTGGGCTCAGAAGGAATGCTGGGTGGCACGTGGTATTTCGATATTGCATATCTTCCTGTTGCTGCCTTCTTCAAATCATTATTTGTACAAGTGACAAACTAGCTCCACCCTTTGCCTTCTAACTGGCATTTCAGTTCTGTTGCTTTTTTTGATCTAACCATGTTCATTCTACTTCTGTTTGCTCCCTGTGGCACTCTTCCTCTAACTGCAGTTCAGTGCTACCATGCTTGATATTCCTTGGCCAGCTGACAGCTCACTTTTCTAATGCACGTGGAGCCTAACAGTTTCATAGACAGGTACTACTTCTCGTCCTGGGCTTCTGGTCAGTAGGGCTTTTTCCCCATCCTATGTAATGAACGTTACCACCCTGCATGTAGATGAACAGAAGTAATGGCTTCACAGAGGGGTGTGAACTCTTCCCGTTTAAATCGCTAACACACGAGTCTGACTAATGTTAATGTGTTCAGTCATTTACTTGTTGGCTGCTCTAGCAGAAATATTAGTCAAGCATTCTTCGATCACAAACAGCTTTAGTTTGTGGATAAATGAAATGCCATCAGTTCTACCAGCAAATCTGAGAACCTTATCCTCAGACTTGCTGTCAGTTTTTCCTCAAAATGTACAAGAAATCCATAGTTGCCAAAATTACAATTTTAAACAAATGTATGTTGTTCAGAAACACATTACCTTAAAGTCAAAAGTATTTTTCCACTTGTATCTTGTATGTTCTGTTATACAGCCCAATACTTCATTCTTTATCTACTTTAGCTTTTACAATAATTCTCTGAAACAGTATGCTTGGATAGCAGATTCAGTTGAAGACAGGTATTTTAACCCAAAATACTGCTACTCTTAATATTTGAGCATAGCTTATAATGCAAATAAATATTTGATCTATCACGTTTTAGTAGAACTTAGACCTGAGTCAGTCTGTGTTCCCTGAGTTGTAGAATGTCAAATGACAAGAGCACTTTTCTCAATCAGCACGGTTAGAAATTCAACACAGGAACTTTCTGCATTATGTCTAAAATAATCTTGTTTGCTTTGATTAATTTTCTACTGCATATTTACATGGTTACTAGAAAATGGGGAGGGGGAAGAGAGAGATGCATGTAATCATTTTTGTAATTTTTTTCAGGTATTTTTAGCAGCAATGATGTAGCAGTATCATTTCCAAATGCAGTATCTGGCTCAGGATCTAGCACTCCCGTTTCCAGTTCTCATTTACCTCAGCAGGCTTCAGGCCACTTGCAGCAAGTGGGAGCTCTGTCACCTTCAACTGCGCCTTCTATAACTACTGTTGTTGCTGCAACTCAGGTAAACTATCACAAGAGTTTAAGTTAGCAAACAATGTTATTGACCCGCTTATTTTCAGTGTTACGAGAAAACATCATTTATTTGGGAAACAGGTTAATAAACGTATTTGTTGTGAAAATGTCATTATAGTGGCTAGAGTTTCCCCACAATATTACATATTTCTCTATCTGTAGAATACATAGATTTAAAAAAAAAAAGTCGTCCGTGGAAGTATGTAATAATAATGATTATATCGTGTAACCATAAATGCCGGTTACAGTTCGTCACTGCTCCAGACAATGTCTGTTATCAGAGCAGTGTTTTGAGAAAGGATTTAAAAGAGGAAATCAGGTAAAGTTTTTGAATGTTTCATGTAAATAAAATATGGTGATGTCAATTAAAGGATGAATGGATTTATGTGGGAGAATTGAAAAATGGACAACTAAAGCTAGCCTTGGCAAAGAGGAGGCTGAGGTTGGCATCTTGATAGCAGATGGAAGTTGACAGACATATCATAGTTTTGTATTCAAGGTCATACAAATAAAGGTACATAGGTTGTGTTTGCTGAAGGGATAAGGGAGGAAGAGTGCAGAAGGAAGTATGACATGGTCAAAGTAATGAAACGGAACAATTATCTTGATGGTAGTATTTTGTGTGAATTTAAATTGGACAAGATTACATTTGGGAAAGCCATGGAGTATGAAGCTATAGCTGTAGAGAGCCAATGTGGTTAGAGTGAGTATGAAGGAATAGTGTGCTGGGCATAATGGTTCTTGTACTTTGTGTTACTTGTATTTTGTTTTTTATTGGGAATCTGTTTTACAACTAATATATCAAATGTATCTTCTGGTGTGTGCATACAAGTCATCAGTTTTTAACTTAGAGAAACTACAGTTCTATAGACTTAAAATAGTGTATATAAACCTGAAACTTGTGTGTGTAATAGCTGTATAGTGGAAGTACTGTATGTAGACAAGTGTAGAATGCATTTCAATATCAAATGACACTGTTGCATATAGCAGGTAGTACGTACTTTTAAAGTAATTCTTCCGGATTCATTTCCAAAACAAGTAAGCCTTGTGTTATCCTAATGTGCTTGTGTCTGATTTCTGTATCATAACGTTGGAAACAGCTGTCTAGTTTCACCCCAAACTGGGTGACATCTCCACAGAAATTGATAGAAACCATTTTAAGGAAGTAAATTAAAAAACAAAACAAAACAAAACAAAAAAACACAGTGCTTTTTGGAAGAGCTAATGTAGCATTGAGCTATCGTGAGGTCAACTCAAACAAAACTGCTGAACAACCTCACCAGCTTGTGTTGACAATATGGTAAGAGGGCAAATGAACTTGGTGTTAGAGGGAAAACAGTTTCTATTCAAAACAGATACAGTAGACTTGAAAGAGGTAAAAGAGCAAACAATGGCAAGGACCAGCAACTTTATAAGGAATGAGTAAATGGTGTAGGACTCCTGGCCTGAAAAGGAGTCTCTCTGATTGAATAAGCCAAAGGAATGTAAAATCAGAGTTAACATGGAATAGGTAAATAAGCAAGAGCTGTACACAGTTGCTTTCTATTTGTTAAACTCTGGAGGATAAATGGATTAAAAAAGCAATGGGACAGAACCCATATGCTGTTTCCCAACTTTTAGGACTCGCAAACCTAAATATAGAACACCTCTGCCATAAAGAGAGGCTGAGGGAGCTGGGGTTGTTCAGCCTGGAGAAGAGAAGGCCCCAGGGAGACCTTACAGCAGCCTGCCAGTACCTAAAGGGGGCTACAGGAAAGCTGGGGAGGGACTTTTGGTCGGGGGTGTGGTGATAGGACAAGGGGGAATGGCTTGAAGAGAAAAGAGATTAGATTAGATTAGATATTAGGAAGAAATTTTTTACAATGAAGGTGGTGAGGCCCTGGCCCAGGCTGCCCAGAGAAGCTGTGGCTGCCCCATCCCTGGAGGTGCTGAAGGCCAGGCTGGATGGGGCTTTGGGCAACCTGGGCTGGTGGGAGGTGTCCCTGCCCATGGCAGGGGGTTGGAACTGGGTGATCCTTAGGGTCCCTTCCAACCCAAACAATTCTGTGATAATGATTGTGTGATGATTTAAAAAAAAAAAAAAAAAAAAAAAAAAGGCAGTTGTCTGCGCTGTGAAAGTGTCTTTGTTTCATGCTAAATCATGATGACCACCTGTAACTTTGTTTTGCCTGGACTCTGTGAATTTTAGTTCATGAGGTCCTTACTGGTATTTGAACAGACTCGGTCAAGAGAACCTATTTTACCATGCAGTTGTTCCTAAGTCAAGAGAACCATTTCACCATGCAGCTGTGGACATGACTGAATATGCTTCAAGGGTGAGGGTTTACCTACTTAGTTCTGCGAGGTTTCATAAGAATGCTGCATCAGCTGACTGGGCTCTTGTGGGTGTATTATCAGTGTTTACCCACCTCTTGACCATGAAAGTCTTCAAATAATGGTGTGCTAATGTGTTTTTTGTGTAGTGCTCTAATTAAAAGAAAATCAGCCAAGATGCTAGGCGTACCTACAATGATTACTAGTTAAGGTAAGCTTGTGCCCCTATAGAAGGTAAAAGGTAATGGTTTAAAAGGTTGGGTTTATTTGAACTATTATTTAAGAAAGTAACTATGCTCAAAATTTGATTGCTGAGCTGTTTGGTCAGCATGACTGATGTGCAGTTGGAATAATACTAAAAATGGGAATAGCCTAAAATATATGCTGTTAAATCACACTCCTCTAAGACTTCATTTAAGTTTTCTTTTTCTATTAGGCAACTATAAATTATGATTTTGGAGAGATCATAACTTTGACAAATCTTGATGTATTTTGTATCCTTTTTTTTTTAATTTTGGGGTGTTAGGAAATTCCAAAGAGAAGGTCTTACGGAAAAATCTACTTCCATAGAGTGAGTCTCAAAATTGGCTGAACCGTTTTGACAAGGAGGCTGTGGTAGACATCTAATACAGAAAATTTTACTCGTAGCATTAGGAAAACTTGAAAGCAATACTACCCTGCTTGTATTGTTGAATAACTGCTATGTCCATATAAAACTGAAGTGATGAAAACCCAAAAAAATAGTACACCCCCCAGTACTACTTTTTCCTCCAGCAACTAAACAACACTATTTTTTTAATTTTTTTTTTGAATCCTGGAATTCTGGTTTTTAATTCTTTGATTCTCTTGTCTGGTAGGATGGGATGGCTCCCCCAGTGCTTTTTGTTTGTTTTTAAGACTGACCTCATTGTAATCACCTTTTCTTACATATCTCACTTTCTGTCTTCATCCCACCCATGATTTTTATTCCAATCTAATAAATTCAGAAGAGATGATTAGCTTGTGTTCCATGCTGTGCCATAACTGAATTTAACTGCTGGTGTTTCTCACCATATATATATATATATATATATGACTGATAGATTACACAGTGCAATTAAGTAGGACTTTATTAGCATGACAATGCATTTAACAATTGCAAGAGCATAAGCAAAAGACATCTTCTCTGAGAAGTATGTCTTTAACTTTTTCATGAAAATTAATGTGTGTTTTGTTAAGAAAAATCACTTTCTTGCATTTTTGGTCTGAATATTGTCTTAATTTTTCCTTGTTAAGCCAAGTCACAGTTTGGACCAACACAAGGTTCTGTGTTCAGCTTTTATTTGAAGTTTTCCTTGTGTTTCATACTTGATTGCATCAGAGCTGGTGGTTACGCTGTTCTGCAACAGCCTGCTATATTGCACTTTCTGATAAGCTATTCTTAGTGACTAATACAAGTGTATAACAAAAGTAGTGACCTAGGTGCCTCAGCATCTTTTGGTATTCTCTATCAGTGTTTGTTTTCTGCTTGTCAGGAAATGCTGGTCATTAGAGTAACTTAGTTTAGTTTTATTTTTTAAATTACTTTTAGTAAATTACCTGTTTTGTAGTGAAGGAGATGTTTGCTGTTTTGGTTAAGATTGAGATTGGTCAAGCTGTCTATTCCTTGTGGTTCCCTAAATGAGTGAAACTACCCAAGTAGTGCTCCATGCCCGTTTGTTTCTGGGCTCTCTGTGCACACAGAATACAGCATCAGACTGCAGAAATAGAAGTAAAAGTTTTTGACAGGGTTTTATCCAGTCATTGGTTAATTTCTCAGACTTCATTCTTTTAATGAAAAATCATTAATAATATTTTTAGTGCAAGTAGAATATGCATGTAGTGGTTTCTTTACAATAGAACCTCTTATTTTCAAGATTTGTAGCTAATTTGCTCTTTGGTGCTGGTATTGTATGAGTCAGTAATGAATGATGGTTATAGTAATCACGGTTTATGCAGAAATTATTTTCAGAATTTCATTTTGGAAACTGTGCTTAAGTTGCAACTTTGGATTTATTTTGCCTCCCATGTGACGGTATCTAAGGTTCTAGTGGTTGTAAGAAAGAGAACCGTGGGGCAGTTTGAAGCAGTATTGCACATCCGTGACACTAACCTGTCTTACAGATGTAGTCCAAAGGGTTGCTTTGTGTTTCTTAGCACAGAGAGAAAAATGTTGCTAGTAGATTCTTTCTTTTCTCAAGCTTTTCTTCCTCCATGGTTTCTGTTTTGTTTTCTCCCCAAGTATCCATCTCTTAGTTTCTGCAGCGTGTTTCCTTGACCACAGAAGCAGCTAATAGAGGGAAGAAGAAGCATCTGTAACAGCAGTCTTGTGACTTGCACAGGGATAGGGAGACTGAATAGCTGCTGTTCGTGACTTTAGTCCAGGATTTAATTGTGGTGGTGTGAGAGGTCCACTTCAACACAGTGTAATAAACTACTGCCTCAGCGGTGGAGATGTGATAATTGGGAAGGTAGGTGCTGCTACTCAGTTGCAATTCTAAGTGAAATAAGTTTGCTTTAATCACTTCCATTATCCCTGAAGTCTGTTTGGCTTTGCTCCCCTTAGTAGCAGTAGGAAAACAGCAGGGTTTTCTTTAGCATTCATATAGTGGTGGTTATCCTCCTTTGTGTGATACAGCCTTTAGAGAGAGATAAGGC